ACCGAGGCAGTGTGTGTGTGTGTGTCACAGATAGACCGAGCTCTTGTTTTTCGGGCCGTGGGAAGTGAGGGAGTGAAAGCTGCAAAACCACAAAGAAGGAGACTCCAATCACGCGGTGTACAGAAATTAGATGTGAAGTTTGAACTCTCAGGCCAAGCCATGGAAAAGGTGTCTGGTGTAAAATATCAATGACATCAAGTGGACTGCCTACCGGCGCTCATGACACAGGCTCAAGCAGCAGCCTTGCCTTCCGGCGCTTGTTGTGATTTGACATGGCGTGTCGCGCACATGCTCAGCCAACCCAGTCTTCCACACAGCCAGAACTCAAGAAGCCCGCAAGATCATTGTGCAGCCAATCGGTGCAGTAGCGAGCGGACACGTCACTGGGCGATGCGTCTTACGTCCCAAATCAGCCGCGAGTCAAGCGTAGCATTAAGATTGCCGGACCAGGCAGACACTCAAACACATGTTTTGAATTAAATTAGTGAAGCATAGTGAAATAGTTTGTGAACCAAGTAGTGAGTGAAATATTTAGTGAATCAAAATTGTGAATTGGGAAACATGGCTTTGCAGTTTGTGACTTCAGTTAGTGAATTGAGAATGTGGGTTTCCAGGTTTGTGAATTGAGCAAAGGAGCAAATTGGTCTTTGCATTTGTGATAAGAGGGCCTGCCAGCGTCTTCCCCAACAGGCGGGGCGAGCATTCGCTAATGTATTTCACTGATTTGAATAGCAACAGTTTGCCGATTTGTGGAAATTGAGCCTCTAAAATTCATTAGATTTCACTATTTCAATTCACGAAATTTCACTCATTTCCGCTAAATCAAATTAATGAAATTTAATGAAATTTAATGAATTTTAATGAAATTTCAAGAAATTTATCGAAATTTATAGAATTCAATCAAATTTTAAAAGGAGTTCACTAAATTTCACTAACTTTTGCTTTTTCCTTTTGAAAAGACTGCAAGCTTGAGCAAACAATTAGTGAACAAAATAGTGAATGGAATTAGTGAAAGTTAGTGAATTTGCACTTATGGAAATTGCGGGCGCTGCGTTGGGCAGACTTGGGGCCAATCGAGTCGAGGGCTTCCCTTTAGCATATAAACATTGTTTCGCTTTGCTTTGCTAAGCCTAAGGGCCTAAGCTTTAGCACAACTCACCTGGACCTAGTCACCTCGCCATGTAGGCGTATGTCCATTCACTATTCCCATTCACTATTTCCATTCGCAATTGTTTTAATTCACTATTCCCATTCACTATTTCATTTGCAAATCTTCCCTAAATAGTTATTTTGATGTTTCCAATCTCTACCTCCCAGCGGCAATCTTAAGCATAGCACAGCACGCACGTCATCTACTTCCAGCTGTGGCTCGAGACCCTATACCTCAACCTGCGAAACTCGATGCATGAATCCTTGGTTCAAACTGACCTGGTCATGTTCAAATAGTGCAAGCTATCCGTCAGCCGCCCCTTCAAGACACCCTCGCACATGTTATGTGAGCTGGTGGGAACTCACAAGGAATCCATTAAACATTCAACAAGCTGGAAACAAGAAGCATGCATCTCACGGAAAAGCATTTATGAATCAAATCCTGCTATTCCTAGCTCATGGACCTCTCCTTGCAAGATCGGGGGTCGGCGAAAGCAATTCTGAACTGGTGGCACGCAACCATTTTGCAGGTGGCAAAACTTGAGAAAGACGCAGCAAACAAGCATGACTCGCGAAGCAACAGCAGTTCACACATTGAGTCCTTATTGGGTCAGGTCGATTTGGAACCCCAGAAAGCCACAGGGCGGTATAACCAAGCATAACAAGCTCTGGCCACGCAGCATGATCCTCAACAAGCGCCGCGGGCACGTCTTTTAACGGATGCTTACATACAGGCTCTATCCGATGCCGAGCCGGATTTTCGACAGAGCCAGATTTTGAACAGGCTGGAATTTTGAAAGGAAACATGGGGAAACGCGCTGATGCCAAAGGGCTGGATGAATTTCCGAAACCTGGGGGGGTGTTCTTGTGCTTTGCTAGGCCCCGCCAAGCCAGGCAGTTTGCCTGGCAAGTCGTTTGTCGATAGCCAGCCATGTCCTGTCGCCGTACGCGCACTACATATCAACGCACACCACGTCTGTGCGCCACACATTGGATCTGCCGTTTTGCGGCTGAGATTCGGCTCAGCTGGCATCTTCTAACCAGCCGCTCAGCTGCGCCCACAGGCGCTGCGTTGTCGGCATGGCCTACAAAGCTTGTTTTAGCGCTCAACCCTCTCTCTCTCTCTCTCTCTCTCTCTCAAGCTCTCCATCTCGCCTTCTCTGTCCCGATCTCTTCCTCCGTCTACCTCTCCCTCTTTCTCACTCTCCCCCGCTTTCCATGACTCACTTCGCTCGCTCCCCTGTTCACGCACGACACACCCTGCCTCAAAAAGCGCGCATTCGGTGGACTCACCGGAGTCATTGGAGGACTCCCGAGTCATTCTCGCGCCATTCCGAATCTTCCCATATACCTGCAAGCAGCCCGGGCTGCCTACACAATTTGACAAGCTTCCAGAACGCCAGTCCTCAGCATTCAGATTTCAGCACATTCATACGCCGTGTTTGATTCATAATACGCTCTCACACCCATTCGATCGCAAAAATGCAGACGACTCTTGGGGGCAGTTCAGATGCTTCTTGGAAACAAGCGGCAGGTCGACGCAAGAGAGCAGACTCCTGCGACAAAGAACTGCACATGGACACGCTCTAGGCCACAAATCTCATGCGTCGTACATCATCAACTGAAAGGAGGTGATTAAAGTATAACATTGTATAACACAGGGCCAACATTGTCGAAAGAACTCAAGCCGTCCTTGGACAGTCGCCGCCTTTCCACACACCTTGCCGTCGCCTAAGCTTCGAGGTCAAGATGAAATGCAGGACAGCAGTGCAAACAGAGTGGCGTAGCGCCGGCAAACGGATCCACAAGCCGCTGTTTGTTGCAGCGCGAAACAAAGAGGATAAACGAAAACAGTGCTTACACCGTGTTTTACAACTTGTCCAAATTGTCCGGGGAACATATTTCTGCAGCTCCTGCGTCATCTCCTAACATGACACGCGTTTTCTCATCGGACGCAAGCAGGATACGGAATGACAACGCGTGAAGCATCCGCTCCAGCCTGCAGGACTTGCTCGTAGTGGCGAATAATCTTGGGATCGCAGCCTGGACATGTGTCATTGCCTAATTTGCTTACAACACTATGAAACATAACCTATCCTTCGGGGATTACGTCGGGATCATCAAGCACTTGCGCCTATCGCCAGACGAACTTGCAGCGAAGAGATCTGCCTCGCCAGCAGATGCATCTCCTCAGCTGGTCGATGGAAACGGACCCCGTGTCTCCGTTCGTTTCGTCGAGCCCGGTACCTGGCCAACCAGCTATCGCATGCCTTCCGAACAGAAGATGATAGAAGGAGATACTTAGGGGGGGATGTGCGAAAATGGACGGACTTCAAGCATGCCTCAAGGTAAACTGACGAAAGTGCACAAATTTGCCCATTGACAAAGTGTAGCTGTTCAATCTGAAAGTAGAACATATGTTCACAAGAGAAAACTACATCAGCCGAGCCTTATGCCGAGCGCTAGCTATGGTTACGACAAACTCACAAGCACCCAACTGACACAGAGTTTTTCCTTACGCGCTGGTCGATATGACAGGACTCTTACTAAACATGTACACGGAGGTTTTGGACGCTGCTCACATGCTACGGTTGCGACAAACTCATAAGCACCAGCGCCCCATTGACACATTGATCAAACAAAACCTTCTGCCAGGCCGCAATAGCTTCAGCAGCCTGCTCAGGAGAAGCTGGCTGAGTCGCGTCCTCGAATGGCTCATGCTCGTCCATTTCTGCATCGTAGTTGGCCTGACCAATTTCATGCGGCAACACGACGAGGCATCGCCTGCCACCAGCGGCTTGACTCGCGCGCGGGGCGTGTGACTCACTCATGGCCGAGGTGCCCAGAATGCAAATGGGTCCTCCTTTTCGGGCGGCGCGTCCGGCTCGTCCGCCTCAGCCTCATGCCTCAGGCATGTAAACATGGCCGCAGTGCCCAATGAACAGTGAGTAGCGCGGCCACGCGAGTAACTGGCGCTGACGCTGCGGACCTCTCAGCCCTCGCTCTGGGGTCTGCAACTTGAGGGAACATCCCTTTGACTTTCAATGCCGAGGATGCACCCACTAAAGGCATTTGTCTCAACACAGCACAAGTCCGGCCTGAAAAGGTACTCATCAAATCGACCCTGGCGTTGTGTTGCTTGCGGCGACAGATCTAGCAAGTACCGCTGCAACGCTGTGAGCCGACACGTCAAGGCACAGCAGGAACAAGTTTCAGGCTGCTGGCAAATATCACACGCGGCAGCGCCGCGTGTGTGGCGAGCGCCAGGCAACTCCAATACAAAGCACGAGTTCCCACTGAACGAAGCAAGCCAAAAAGCAAGCCAAAGTGGCCATGGGTCAAAAGCCCGTACCCCTAGTGAAAATCCTAATCCCAACTAAAATAGACTAAAATGGGTGGTGCACCTACCCCAAAATGGTACCATTGGTTTTGACCCACAGCCAAAGTGTTCACAACCCTTTGAAAAATTCGAGCCATGGAGCCGTGTGTCTCCCCAGCGCGCTCACTCATCTTTTCGGCGAACCGAGGCAGTGTATGTCACAAATAGACCGAGCTCTTGCCTTTCGGGCCATGGGAGTGAGGGAGTGAAAGCGGCTCATTAAGACCCATGTAACCCTGCAGAACCACCCTCTGAACGAAACAAGAAAGAGACTTTGGCTTTGTAACTGTCAAAGGGGGATCAAAGTGGAAAAGTGATTAGTGCAGGTCTACACAGGACTATGTTGGAAGGAGCTCCCCTAGGACTGCCAACTTCCCTCACTGGATGGATCATCTGATCACGTGCCTTACAGAAAGTAGATTTGAAGTTTAATCTCGCGGGCCAAGCTACGGAAAAGGCGTCTCGCGTAAATGCTCAATGATATGCTTTGTGCTTGTGTTGGTCTGTGGACATCAAGTGGACTGCCTACACTTCCGGCTCTCATTAACGCAGGTGCAGGCAGCAGCCTTGCCTGGCAGCAATGCAGTTGTGATTCAGCCACTGCACACAGCATAGCAACTCGCCACTCAGAAGCTCACATGTGGCCATGGTTCAAAACCAATGGTACCATTTTGGGATAGGTGCACCACCCACTTTAGTCTGTTTTAGTGGGGATTGGGATGTTCACTGGGGGTACGGGCTTTTGACCCATGGCCATGAGACAAGATGATTGTTGGCTGGCTGATACACGTTTTGAGTCTTCAACAACAGAACAATCTGCTTGTGCAAAGACGATTCTGTGGGCACTAACCGCAGTTCCAATCGGTTGCAATGCCCAAGGAATCCATGTATTTCACTGCAATCCTGGTCTTTGCCGATTTGCACACACATTTCTGACAGGGTTTCGCAAACAAAGGCAGAACCAAAGCACACACACACAGAGTGCCTCCTCACTTGAGGTTGAGCAGGCTCTTTCCCTTTTGGAGGAATTGGAACACGGCAGTCGCCATGTCCTGACCAAACATCGAATGGCTCTTGCCAAGGGCTGGGTAGGCAAATCAAATACAGTCCGCCGAGTCATTTTCTCAAATAAGGTTCTGAGGCTTCAAGGACCCCGGTGCTCTTTTTGCGATTCCTTCTAGCTGAATATGGGTGCGGGTCAGAAATTGGTACCCAAAATGGGTCTCCCCGACCAAATGGAAAGGAGCGAAACCTGCGGTCCATGGTGGTTTAAGCTTGACCCATATTCGAGACTGCCCCTTTCTCTGGCTCACTGGCCAGAGGAAGTCAGGGCTGGCCAAGGCCTAAAGGGTCCAAGCAATGACACCCCCACAATTCATCGCAAGGCTGATCTCCCAAAAGCTCCCAAACATGGGCAAGTCTTCCAAACACAGGGGGTGACTTTCCTTTGGCTTCCCTTTAAAACAAGAAAAGGGGGCACCCTCAAAAAAGACGGACCCATGCCTTCATGGCCAGGCAAGGGGACCAGAAAGGATCGGATTCAGCGGGCAACGGCACCGGACCAATGACCCTTGTCGACCTTGACGGGGGGTATCAATCCGGGGACACATTCCACAAATATCGAATGTTCTGATTCTAGATGACACAAATGACGGTGTTGGGCGTGGAAGATCAGGCAGGTCCCTCCCACCCTCTGTCTGACTGTCTCGCTCTGCCTCTGTCTCCGTCTCCGTCTCCCTCTGTCTCTGTCGTTGTCTTTGTCTCTCTCTCTCTCTCTCTCACTCTCTCTGTCTCTCCTCCCTCCCTCGCTCCCTCCCTCCCCTCCCTCCCTCCCTCCCTCCCTCCCTCCCTCCCTCCCTCCCCTCCCTTCCCTTCCTTTTCCTCCCCTCCCCTCCCCTCCCCTCCCCTCCCCTCCCTCCCTCCCTCCCCTCCCTCCCTCCCTTCCTCCCGCTTTTTTTTGTTCCTCTCTCTCGCTCTCTTGCTCCTTTTTCTCGGGGTTCTTGTCCGGATGCCAATCGCGCAGCATATTTCTGAACTCCTGCACAGCACATTCATGCGGGCTTCTGAAAGTGCTCAACACCTTCTTGCTCAGCAAGATGCTCCGCATGTTGCATCACCACTTTCAACTGAACATGAGCATGCAAATCTCACATCTACGGCACTTTTGTGAACTCTGCTCCGAAGCAGTGACTCGTGAAGAGCTGTCGGTCTTGGGGCCATTTTTAGCGCCTGAGTCCCTTGTTGGCTTCCAGTCGATTGGCATCCAAATGCGGTCACAACAAATTCCCGGCGCCAACTTGCGCACAGCACAGCACAGAACCCCAACGTGTCAGCCTTTCAAAAGCGCCCGAGTACCGAGCGCCCACGCGCCAGTCGCTCGAGCAACAGGCGGGCCTTTGCGCGCTGCTCTTTGGGCTCGACCTTCTGTAGCTCCGTGAGCTTGGCAAGCACCTGGCAGCTTCTCACGGCCACACCCCTTCGAAACGAACGCGCGTGGCCTGTGATCAGATCCCTTTTGAAGAGCATGCAAGACGTATCCACCCGTGGCAAGAATATAACACAGCTGTGCGGCCTTAGAAAAAAAAACGACTTGACACCTACGTCCCTCCGGAAATCCAATCCGTCGATGGATTTGTCCGCCTTCTCTGGGATTCCCTGGAGCCTGGGTCCCCTGGGTGAACTTGGGATGTCAGGAGGCTGATGGATCTTGTGAGGTGCAGTCAAGATTGTGACCGATTGACTACAGCTCAGATCATGGTGCATCTCCGTTCCGTATTTAAGGGTTGATCAAAAGGTCCTTTACATGGGATGACCATTCGAAAAAGATGAGATGTCCCACTAGGTGAGAAAGGTTACCCATATTTACCCATAGTCAAAACAGGGGGCCTTAAATGGAATATTGATCAACCCTATTTCTCCCTTCTGCAAAAGCCGACGTGGCACTCAAACACGACCGGCCAACCCTCTTCTTGGCTTGTGCCGTCTCTGGATCCTCTTGCACAGCCTCAGCATGCAGCGAGCTTTTGCCGATTTTTAATTCATGGGTGTGGCAAGGACTTTCAGATGGACACCCCAACCCCGTTGCTTTCCGCCTGACCAACCCCAAAAAGGGATCCAGTAAGCAGTTCGGCTGGGACCCAGCGGCTTTTGCGGCGACACGTTCATCCTTTTCCCGGTTTCCGTGCCTCCATTTCTCGTTTTCCCTGCCATTGGCTCAAGTCTGGGCAAAAATCAAAGAACCATGTCGAGTAGTGATAGTTTTCCCTGTAGAACCAACACGTGTTTTTTGTTTTTAAATCACCTTCTTAAGCAACTGGAAGCCTGTCAGGGAAGTCCAGCCAGCTACCATCAGGCCTGCTGCGCTGCGGTGGCCGCCTCGGAAACGCAGAAGTTCCACGCCCGGCAAAACCCCCCACCATAAATCATTAAACCAGTGCTTCTCTCAAGCGATACGGGTGTCTAGCTTTTTTTGGGGACCCCCCTCCCCCATGTATATATATACATATATATATATATATGATAAATAAACATGGTGGTTTTCTTCCAATTGGTTTTCCAGTAAAACCAACAAAAAGGGTACCCTCAAAAAGATGATGAAGCGATATTTATGGGCCCGTGTTTTGCTATGCGTGAAAGATCCTAAACGACGCTATTCCAGACCTCGGATTAACCAGCTGCCTCAAAAGGATGTCACATTGAATTGAGGCGGATTTGCTACTCGAAAGGCTCTTCGCTGATCCAAGCGCGGACAGCCCTGGCACTTGGTGCCAAGTGTCAGTCCCCCTGCGTGAGTCAAAGGGCAAACTGCCTCGCAAATGCTTCTTGGCCTTCCACTAAGGCCGCAAATCCCGCCATATCCCAGAAGCTTGCCCGAACCCCCCCCTGGGCTTGCAAGCTGCAAATGGCCTCAAACTCCAACTCATCTGGGTGAATTATAATATTTCACCAGCCTGAAATAAGGTGGTTGGAGGGATATTCCCACATAAACCACCATTTGGGGTGAATTCGGTCGAGAGGTCGTTATACTTCACCCAGACTCATGGACCGCAAATTTCCAGCGGAGCGATGGGCCCTCTGGGTCGACTGCGGCTCCTCCGGCGCCGCCAGCAGCGGCGGCTCCAGGAGCCGCGTTCGGCCTCGAGCATGGGCCAGGTGCGATAGGTGGGGAATGACCTGTCGGTGTTTCGGGAATGAACCGGGTTTGGGGTTCCCGAAAAAATGAAACCAGAGGATGGATGGCTTTCTGAGCGGGGCATTCCCTCATTCCCAGAAGAGAATTGCGATGAGGCTGTAATGTATCATCATTATCCAATGGAGTGAGATGCAGGCGGTGTTTTTTTGGCCGAGCCGATGTTTCCTCAACCAGGGATCCCTTGAGGCGGGGTTGTCGTGTTTGCCCTGTAAAAACCACCTGAATACATGACAGACCCCTGTCCAGCAACAAAACTAGGCTGATGGTGGACCCAGCAGCGAACCCATTGCCATTCGGCTCTTGGGTGGCCGGCGTCCGATACTTAAATCATCTTTCTTGGGCACTATGGCATCCCTTGACAAAATAACAGACATGAACAGCCACAAGGAAAACAGTTTGCCATAATCTGGTTCTGACATTGCTGCACAGTCTACCCAAGGCCTGAAATAAGGAATCTCAAAGGATCTTTACTGTGGTGAGCTTGTTTTATCCCTGCCCGCCCACCACCTTCGGGCGAAGGGGCTTTAGCCCCCCCCCCTCAAGGTCCTGCAAAGGTCCTCCTCCTCCCCCCGAAGTAAGCCCGTTAAGCCCCTCCCCAAAGGCTCCTTAAAGCCCCCCTCAAACCCCCACAAATTAGGCAAAGACATTCCGCAAGTTCACCTCAGCCCTCCGCGGTTTTCCGCCGGGGCCCAGGCGGCGCTTCCGAGGTGAACTTGCCTTTCCTCTTCTTCCTGCAAGGCGAGCTGACAGGCTCTCGTGGCGAGGCCAACACCTTGCTGAAGAAAGGAAGCCGCGTCAACATGATTTCATTATGACAAAGAATGCGTATATATGTATATGGTGCATGGTGTACATATGTATAATTCTTATATATATATATATATATATACATAGTACACGTGCACGGCGTTCAAAATACATTACATGGCTGGCTGCCATCGCTGGCACGGGTGTGGACCCCTGATGCTCACTACAGAGGCAGCGCACCTCCAGCTCGAAATCGATTCTGTAGCACAAGTCTTATTCGCGAAGTACACTAGCTCCAGCTAGAAAATCGCAACTTTGTCGTGCAAGTCCAGTACGCGAAGCACACTTCCGCAGCTCCAGCTCAAAATCGCAACTTTGTAGTACAAGTGTAGCGCGCGAAGGGCCAACTGCCTACTTGAAGGGGCCATAGGTGTCGCTCCATGATCTGAAAGGTATCGCTCCGGGTGTTGCTCCGGCGGCACGATTCTTCCCACACATGCAATTCATCATCCAGAACCCCGCGAGCCCTAAACAGGGGTGAACAGGGGTGTCGCTTTTCATGGCCCCCCTGTCACTTGCTGCATATTTTTAAACATTGTGGTCGTGTCATGGCGGTCAAAATAAAGAACTCTTCATGGTGTGTCTTGCCACCAGAAGAGATACCTTTCAAAGCCATACAAGGCTGTTCTTTTGTTGCGGCAACCATGGGTGAAGCTTTTGCGATCCCCACTTCGGAACTCTGAATTATAGATGGAACAACAAGCAGACGATTCGCATGATGTAGACAGCAGCAATTTAATTGCCTGGAGATTGATTTGCACGTCTGCAGATATGCAATCTGCATTCTGTATTTCGCACCTAGGGTGCCTGTACGGTACAAGCGAAAGAGGCAGCGAGACGAATCATCATGTCCGAACATGCAGCAGATGGGGATTCAAAAGACAGCAGAGTTTGAAAAGCGTTACTTTGTCCCGAAAGTAAGGCTGCTGACGTGCCTACATAACTACTATGGTATCATTCTGCAGCCCATTCTGACCCTTGCACTTGAAATTGGTCTCCGCAGCACAATCTGGTCCCAAATTCGCTTTTACCGGCTTGAGAAGACCCAGGAGCCAGGATACCCATGGCAATCGGCTTGAAAATTCAGCCGACTTTGCCTTTCGGGGCGCAAATGGCGCCCTCCCTCTCCTGCTCTTGCTCGATGACGAGCTGCTGGAAGGAGATGACCTGCGCTGGTGGACATCCGACATCCTCTCCGCTCTCCAGGCGCTCAAGACAGTACCCTCCCTATGGAAGTGGAAAATTGGGGGCTTCCCCAAGAGCAAAACAGTCGTTCAACACCCTCCTGTCCCTGGCCCCATTATTTTAGCATGATCAAAGTCACCCCCTAAGTGGTGGGTTAAAGGGAAACAGCCCCATTTTCTGACTTTGATAACCCCCAGAAACAGTCAAACAAATGACCCCTGTGTCAGCTTCTATGATTGTTGGAGGGAGGGTAGGCTTCTGTTTAAATCCAGTTGCGCGTAGCCCGACTTAATACATGGAGAGCCATGTTAGGATTGGCCAAGAGCCATGGGCCCTACCCTCCCCCAGACGAACAGCCGGAAGCTCCCAGGACCCCTTAAGACTTGGTTCCATTCACGGAGGGTTTGTGGGAGCTTCCGGGTGTTAGTCTGAGGGAGTGTAATCCTTCAAGGGCTTCAATCAATGCAACCTCGCATTCTGCTTCAAAGAGGCGATTGAAGGAAGAACGAAAGGCCTATGTGGCTTTGTCTCAAACATACGGGTACCTATGGTACCCCCTATTTCGGGTGATGTCCCTTTGCCGGGGCCTTTGGTTTCCTATGAACAACAACCCAGAAAGGGTTTCCTCAAAAAAGGCCACACCCACGTGCGCACGAGTGGCAATCCCAACTCTGTGACTCTGTGAGCACCGGATATGCACTCCGCTCGAGCAAAAGCTGTTTTCTGCTCCATGTAGATCAAGTAAACCAAAACCCATTGGGTCAGGGTGTTTCTTTGGCTGCGGGCAAAAAAGAACAAACATCAGTCAGTTGCCAGAGTGTTTCGCACGGATCGTAATCTTATGCATAGAATTTCAAGATATAGGAAGGGCTTAAAAGAAACATCGTCATGGAGCGTCAACACTTTGTCAAACACGGCTATTTTAGGCCACGTAGCCTCCAGGTGTGATTGCCATGGAATATGGGCGCTTCTTAAAAACTGGGGACCAATTCCTCCAGGCGGTTGGTTTCCTTTTGGTTACCCTTCAAACCGTTCAACAAAGTTTTCCCCTATTTTGAGACAGATCCCTATGATGCGAAGTGGGTTTCCACGGTTGTCACATCTTGGCCACACTTGGCTGTGTCTGCCGCATCCCATTTGGATCTGTCTTTCTTTCGGGGCCCCAAAAAATGGTGGTTTTTCCTTTGGTTCCTCCTCAAAAACCAAAATGGGGCTCCTAAAATGGCGTTGTTTTTCCTTGGGTTTCTCTTTGAAGACCAAAAAGAGGGGGTGCCGACTCAAAACAAGACAGAACCCACACGCGATGAACTCAGACCTGCGGCTCGAAGTACTTCGCGACTTCTTGCGCTTGTGTCTTCTCCTGCCACTTCACGTCTTGCCAACAAAATATGGGTGTCTGAAACTGGGATTCGGACCCCCGAAAAATACAGCTTCTTTTGGTTTTCCTTCTGGTATACGTAGCCTCACACAAACTTGAGCCACTCGTATGCCACAGGAGCTGGGCAGCTGCAAACTACAGCTGCACCAAACCAGTTCGGCCGAGGATGGCAAGCCAATCATCCAAGTCGCCACCAAGCAACACCCGTCTCTTGCCGGGTTTCAAGGAATTGTCTAACCCATACATCTTCATTTTCTTGCCAGGTAGACAACAAAGCTTTTGCAGTGACTCTACTCTACACTCTAGCTGACACTCATACTTCATGGTCCGAGCTGTTGGCATCCTGTTGCGAATGGCTGCGCATTCCCATCGCAGGTGGACAATCCTGAAACTGCACTTCGGGACTGCTGTTTAGTTACGCACCACATTGCTGGAAAAGGCGCTCAGACTGACCCACATGGCCCCACGAAACACTGAACGCCGCTCGCTCGAGCTGGTTGCCTGTCGGCCTTGTAGTTACAATCGCCACGAAGAGGCCCGCGCGATGGCCAACGTGCTGCAGTTGAATAGGGCGCAACACAGGTTCCACCAAAAAAGGATCGCCACCCGCTGTTGCAAACTGGCCATGGGTCAAAAGCCCGCACCCCCCGTGAACATCCCAATCCCCACTAAAACAGGTTCTAAAATGGGTGGTGCACCTAATTACCCCAAAATGCTAGATTGGTTTTGACCCACAGCCAACTCATCATCGAAAGACTCATGAGTATACCCACCGCGGAGAATTCCGTCAAGCTCACCATTCCCGGCACCGCGAGGGGCGAACAAGGCCACGAGGATACAGAGATGGCTCGCAAAGCCGCCGCCTATGCTTTTGACCTTGCTGACGAACGACTGGGGGCCGTACTGGCTCGACCACGTGGAAGGGGTTTCTCGCCGCTCTGGTGTTGAGCCACTGAGCTCACTTCAACACAACCCAAGGAACCGGTTGGCTAGTTTGTGCTCTTACATTGACGATAGTTGATACCAGGCGATTTCCAAAAGATATGGGTGTCTTTTTTGGGGGTGCCCCCGCTTTTGGGGTTTTAAAGGGAAACCATAAGGAAAACCACCATTTTTGGGGGTATACCCTAAAACACGACACACTCATACTATAGTCTCAGCTCCTTCTCTTCTTCTTTCGGCTGGAGGGGCTGCTGCTCTTAGAGCTCTTCTGCGATGACCTGGGCGAAGCTTCGCGCGCGCGGGGTTGAGCGTTCTTCCCCCATCTACACGAGTGGGTTGCCAAATTCTTCTTGGCACACTGAGCCACATGATGACTTTGGCCCCAAACCGGATGTTGGCCAAAAACATCGCAGCATCCTTACAGCATGGCCACATGGGTGGGTACGAGCTGATCGCTGACAAACATGCAGGTGCGCAGGCCAGAACCATCTTAGCTGCAGCCGGTTGCCGGGCCATATCGGTTCAGCTAGAACTATCTCCCCTATCCCAGGCAGCCCTCCAAACATGTCATCCTTCAGCCGCTTCTTCTTTTTTTTTTGCAGGCCTTCCGACTGCCCACAAACAAACAGCAGTGTGTGGCTGCCCTACCTTTTCAGCAAAACCGCAAAACCTGGTCCTCGACTGACCACAAAACCGGGAGCCGCGAGCCCCCGCTTACTGCTTGATCTGCTCGATGAGGAGGAAGGCGTCCTCGAAGGGCTGGACCTGGTAGGCCATTGCTGGAGCTTGGCAAACAAAAATTGACAGGTCTCCCTGGCAACTAGAAAATACCAATCTGGCCATGGGTCAAAATCCAAATCGTACCCCCAGTGAACATCCCAATCCCCACTAAAATAGGTTCTAAAAAGGGTGGTGCACCTACCCCACAATGGTACCATTGGTTTTGACCCACAGCCATCTCAACCAGTGGAACCCTTCTATTTCATTGCAACCCAACCAAACTAATCGAAAGGGCACTTGTGCTAAGGTCAACAAGTGCTGGTCCGATCTCATGGCGAATCACCTCGTTGCTCGGTCTCAGGACGTGGCTCGTCGGAATCTCGGAGGCGCTTGGGTTTCCGTCGCCCCAAACACCGCCGGTCCTGCAGCACAAGCAGGCCAGGGTTGCTAGGGGCGTGGGGCGCCTTCTTCCGGAATTGGTGGGGCACCCTGGGAAACAAACAGAAGGATAAAGAGCTTGGTTGGGTTCTAAGCGGTCGTGTTATAAGCAGCTGCATAAAAAGGGGTGGAAAAGGCGGCTTCGGCAACTTCTTCCTTTCAGGTCGGCCCTGGAATCAGTTGGTTTCGCGGCTTGCAAGCCCGCCATGTCGTGCCCGTCTTTTCTCCTCAGCTCTCAAAGGGTTGACCAACCTATTTCAAACTGGACCTGGGCATGCGTGAGACCAGTCAACTAGCAGCAGTTGTGGTGAATCACCCATACTGGTGGCCACACCTTGGCCAAAGCAGACTCAGGCAGGTTGCGATCCATTTGCAGCTGGTATATTGAAGTATATTGTTACCTACGATTCCAGGTCTGCCAAGACCATCTCAGCAGCCACTGAGAAAGCTGATATGGCAATATCATGCAACACTTCCGTATATGCAGCAGCAAAATGGGTCTGTCCTGTTTTAGGGGACCCCCGCAAAAAAATGCGTTCTTTCTTTGGTTTCCCCTGAAAACCAACCAAAAGGAAGTACCCTCAAAACGAGACATACCCAATGTTCGACGTACGTACTCTATGCTCCAACCTTCAGGAAAAAGGAAACAGTACGCCATGGTCCATCGCCCACATCATATCCAGTCAAAGTGCACGACATGCCCGCCCCCAAGGAAAACATATTGGCCAAGACACGGTAAACTATGCAAAATGCCGTCAACTTGACAACTGTTCCACTGATAGCCAACCCTGCCTATTGCTACCTGTTAACCTCGGGTTTACTTCCGGGCGAGCGATTGTCAGATGTTCGGTGGCAAGAGGTCTCCCCATTGTGCCCAGGTGTTCCTTCCGGCCGTAGTGGGTAGAAGGCAAGCCGAGGATCTGGATGGACACTGGTTCAAGCCTTGCGTCTCGCAGCGAGCGCAACGAGCGCAAGGTGTCAGACTGGGACGTGCTTCCAGTTCCCATGGCAGGAAACAAGGAGAAGCCATGATGTAAAACCCAGAGGTAAGGATTCCTGGTTACCTACTATGGTGGTAACTGGAAGCACTGGGTATGGCTGCCGCTCCCGTCTTAACATGGCCATGACATGTCCTTGATTTCTGCGTTGGCTTGCGCTTGTTGGTGGCTGGTTCAACAGAAACAGTCTGCAGCAGCTTCGGCTTCGTTTTACCGACAGCGTTGTCAGAACTTATGCGGTGGTCTGCATCCATGATGATTTTCAAAGTGGGGATAATCATGACTACGGTACGCTGAATGTACAATCAAACACATGCCAGCATCAGTTTTTGAAATGCCGGTTCCCCACTGCCGCTTTCTGAACCAAGGTGCATCTAGCACGAATAGACCAAAAAAGATGAGTTTAAGGACAGGCCCGCCCTTGGAACCACAGTCTGGGTGCTTCGCTCGGTAGTCAATTGCTCGCTATTTGTTTGCTGCGTTGTCATGCTTTGTCCATTCGGGTCCGTCTTTTTTGGGTACCCATTTGTGGTGGGTTTAAAGGAAACCCAAAAGGGACACCCATTTTAGGTAAACGCCCTTGAAGCATCCATCGAAAGGGACCAATCGCCTGCACCCATCTGCATTTCCTGTAGCCTGTGGCACCAAGACGGCAAATACAAGCAACCAACACAAGACATCCACCTGCAAATCAGAAGCCTTCACGTCGAAACACGGCATGCCAATGGCTTCGGAAGTTCATTAGGGGTTGGCATCTTTTTGGGGTACCTGTCCACAGGCGACCTTTTGGAAAAATAGATGGGTGTCCCTCGTTAATGGAGCAAAAAAGCAATCTAAACCAGTACCCTCTGTTCGTTTTTCTAACTAACCTAAAAAGGACACCTACGGTGGATAGATGAGATCCTGCACCACCTGAGAAAGCGTGGAATGAAATTCCACGGTAAATACCAATCAATGGGTTCCCATAGCTTAGTGGTGCAAATTGGACTTTGCCCATCCCAGTATGTCCGTAATAGTAGACAGCTCGAAGGGTTCTTGTAGGAATCCAATCGTAGGCCTGTGAGATCAAAGGTGCAAGGGCGATGATGGCTTGAAGCCGGCAAAACAAATCCTTTTGAGAGGCTGCTCGGGAGGTCCGTTCATGAGCATTTCATTGGTATGCTTGAAAAGCTCTGTCGAGACATGGTCGTCCTAAAGACTGCCGGTTTCATTGAGTAATGTTGGGTATTCATAATGCGACTGACCAAAAAAACGTCTTCAGCGAAGGCCCGGGCTCTCCGTCCAGGTTGGCCCCAACCCCACCGCCCGGACGCCAGCCCATACCTCGGACAAGCAAATTGAGTGACCTTGGCCCGTGCTAAGGGTCCGTCTTGACTTTCATGGTTCTCATTTGTCCATTCCAAGTATCTGAATTTCATTCCGAGATGTTTTTTCATGCCAATTCATAGCATTTCCCGCCACATGGCGTGTCACTGCCAAGCTCGAGGCCGGGATAGAAGAGCAGTGCAACTCCGAAGGGATTGACTCTAGCCATCCGTTTTGAAGGAGTTCTGTGGGGTGCCAGTTGCCGAAAAACAAATACAACATGTCACCGGGATTGGAGCGATGCGCATGATGCAAGATTGAGAGCGGGAAGCTCAAGCACGGGAGTAATTATGAAATAATGAGTTGAGAATAACAACTCTAACCATAGAGCATGATAGCCTAGCAGGTCTACACGATAATATTTGCATTAGTTCGAACAGTGCGCTCGTAGCGCTAGCAATAGGCGAATCAACCCTTCATCACCAATGCACGAATGACACGGCAAACTGTGATTCACAACTTGTTCATGCAGAGTCCTGCATATGAGTAGGATGTGTCCTCATGGAACGCATGATGAATGAACGTTGCATCCCTTCCGCTCGAGGCGCTGCTTTAACTTGGCAGCTTTTGGAAGAAAGGTCATGGATTCTGTTTCTTGAATACAGCACTGCCTACCTCTGACGTGTTGAACAACTCACAACGACTTGTCTCCAGCTCTTCCCAGAAACAGCTTGCTGAGCGCGCAGCTGCGCAACAGTTGCGCACCTATGCCTCAGTATGTGCTCAATGGTGTAATGTGCCATGGACCTGCTGTGAGGAATACCTGCAAAGTAACTTTCACTTGTCGTAGCTGCCCAAATACACCCCTATCGAATTTGAACGCTGGTTGGCAACAGTCTACTGTTTACTATGAGGCCATGATATAATCTAGTATCTACATCATGACTGGCTTGTCACGACTCTTCAAATGTTCCGAATCATGTAGTCGATGCTTTGCACTGCTTGTTCGAGCTTCACCAGTCCCAAATAAGCCATTAACTTCCGCAAACACGAGAGTCAAAGGTTGAGATTCACAACCATGACTCATATTGATGCCCAACTAGTGCAACAAAGAGCGACATGTTTTCCGCATTTGGGGATGTTGCTGGTATTGATATGTATACATGTCCTGTCTCCATTGCAAACAATCACACCCAGAAGCTAGATTGAATCGAAGCAAATGCCCAAAAGGCAAGGCTGATGTACTCAGTTTGGCAAGGACGCAGCAGAATACTTCGCTGGATTGCTCTCGATTCAGCCTGCTATAGTCTATCTCGTACACACAGGCATATACCTTTTGGTAGAAGCCATTGTTCGCATCTGTTGCTAAGGCATTGTTTCTTCTTGTCTTTTGTTAAAATATCGGGACCACAGGCTTGCAGCGTCTCGCAACAACAGCTGCGCAGTCTGGCAGTAGATCTATTTGCTGGCTGCTATTCCTGTCCCCAAATGAGTCACAATCAAAACCCGGTAAATAAATTGGTTGATCCAGAGCCATGTAAGGAAATTGTGGTTGGGATTGTCCCTTACAGGGATCCTTACATTATACACCTGAACATTGCCTTGTAAATTGTGGTTTCCCTTTATTTTGGTGGAAAAAGCAATATGTTTCAAATGGTTGCAAAATGGAGATCTTTTAAGGAGCCCTGCCTTACTAAGCTTCATCTACCCGAATCGGTTTTGATGACGCAACTCGTTGAGGCCAGGTCCGTACAGCTCATCCAACTGCGCTCCCTCCTCCTGGCGAGCGTTCGACTCGCGTCCGACTGGCGCGCACCTGCCATGTTGGCCCCGAAGCAACCCCTCCTCGCTCAGCAAAAAGGACGCGGATGGAGCCGCAGCGGCACCTTTCCTGGCAGGATCCCTACCTTAAGGGGGAGGGTGGGGGTCCCACAACTCCCATTTGTTTCAGTCTTCCCCATAAAAGAGAACATGGAACCCAATTTGAAGGGGGTGGGGATGCGAACGCTAGCCACCTCGAAGTCCTAAGCCGCTTGGTGAGGTTCTTGGGGAGAAATTTCGCGGAGGGTAAGCAGTACATAAGACCGAAGGGCGTTCCCTCTTATTACAAGGACCGTTCCGATGATTCGGATGACTCCCATAATCTGTTTTTGTGTATGTATATATATATATATGTATAATGGCAGTGTCCAGTGCAAAGGTAACCCTAAACTTGAAGCCTGCAAATTCGAAGCCTGCAAATGACATGTATCACCTCAACCAACTCAAGCCCTATATCCCGAACCCTCAAACCAAACACGTTGCAATCTTGAAGCTAAACCCTAAGAAACAAATAACACAATCTCCAGCCTGCGTTCCAGGGAACTTTTAAGATCGGCCTGCAACTGCAAGCGCAGGCGCCTTTCTGCACTTGTGGGCAATCAACTCGTGGGCAAGCAATCGGTGCTGTGCGTATCATTCGCACGGGCTCAGTCCCTCACAAGACCCAAGTAGTCAGCGGTGCCTCAGGCCTTCTCAAGGCACCCCCCGCTACAAAGTGACGCCGGTGCCACGGCGCAGCTTTCTCCTTCTCCGCGTCTGCCTCAGCATGACATAAACATTGAGTGGACCAACATGATGTATCGAGCGGAACCCTCCACGAAAAAATCCTGGCCACTCGCCACATTCCTTGAAAGCACTCTTTCACCTGGGTGGACCAATGGACTTCTCGCAACCTTCGTCGGTCTTCCAGGTGAGCCATGGCGAGTCCCGAGCATGTCTCTCGCTTCACCAAGCAAGGTTCAACCGCTCCAAGAGCTTGTTCCTTTGATTCATCCGAAGGACCCCAATCAGGGGTGCTTCCTCTCTTGGTACGCCAATAATCTACTTTTAAGGCTCCTCTGATGAGGTAGGTGGTCCTCCGCATTACTCTGAAGTTCACAAATTGCAGCCTGCAAGGCAAACGACTCAGTCAACACATGGCAGGCGTCGCACCTCGGCATCGACATCCACTTCAATGCCCTGCGACGAGCGACTGAGCAGCGAAGTTGAATTCGCCCAACGCCCGAAGCCCACGGTGAGCGAAGCAACCATCCCCATTTGCAGTCTCTTGAACGGTTCGGTCAGCAACAATGTGAATTGCTAGGCGTGTGGAATAATTCTAGTCGACTTGCGTGCTCACCCTACCTCTCAGGTTGACTTGCGAGCAAAGTGCCTGCTCCGTTTGTCATCCGTAACATGGTTTTGTCGTTGTCTGATCTTCAAAAGGCACATGCGGCAACGGTGCTAGATGATCTAGAGCAGTAGCAGCCTCAAACCAGCATGGATCCTATTGCCTCCCAAGTAGCATCTTCATTGCGCGGTACTGCGGTTTTAGACTCACCCCGTCTGAATCCTTACAAACTGTACATTGATGGCATTGGTAGTCCTGCCAGAGTTGCTCTACCAAGAAATTGAATTGGCTCCCCCAAACCATTGGCCCACCCCAATTCAAAAGTTGATCAATTCGCTGGTTTCCATTCAACCGATCGCCACGTTTTGGAGATTCCAAGAAAATGGCTCGCACACCCTGTAGTAGTTTCCCTGTATATTACAGAAAAGGGATCTGCACCCCATTTTGATCTGCTTAGCGGAATCCCCTAAGTGATGACTTGGAAATGCCTACTTTGGTAAACGCTTGTGGAAATTAGGTAAGCAACTGTTTTTTTCTTCTGATACCGACAGAATTCGGTTCCCAAGTTGTTGGTTGGTGGGTTGGTTGGTGGGTTGGTTGGGCTGGGCTGGCTGCTGGCTGGGCTCATTCACTTTTTCGCCTGACCCACCGATACTCTCGACGGAAGCACTGAGTCGAATCGACCTGCTTCGCCGCATCCTCGGCGTCCTCCTTCACCTCCGCTTCGGCCTCCCCGTTCTCTGCAGCCTGCTCTGTGTCCTTGGCAAAGATGGCATAGTGAAAACGATCTAGGACTTCTTAACCTATCTTTGAGGCGACGGTATGGAGTAGAGCGATGCTACTCGGACAGTATGAGACCTGCCCGGGCCATGAAGTTGGGGCGGTTCCCCCTACCACCGGTACTGCTCAAGCCGTGCCGTGGAGACCACAAGTCCGGCCAACCTATCTTTCATCTGTTCTGCCTTCCTTTCCGTGCCCTTCCCGGCGTAGGCGTGAGTTACAATCATTTTGGCGTCATTGCCACTAATCTCCTCCCAGAACTTGAGCAACTGTACGACGAGGAGCCTCTTCAGTTGATAAACAAAGCGTGTCTCTTAACACGTGCCGCGGGGTGCGCAAACGGTGCTCCAGTCGTCGTCATTTATGTTATGTTATGTGTATCTTGTATTTATGTTTTTAGTTATTTATTTTAGTTTATTTTATTTTATTTTATTTATTTATTTTTTTTTTATTTATTCAGTGTTTTTTTTTTGGGGGGGGGGGCGGGGGACTGAAAGGCATCACATTGGCCAACAGAGGGCTCGTTTCCAACAACCACAGGGTGGCAGTGCTTGCTTTCAGCTGGGCAGCCTCAAGCGCGTGTTCTGAAACGCAAAAGTCCGGGGGAAGGCATCGGAACGCTCCGAGCTTTGCGGAACGCGCAAAGCGCTGTGAACATTCTTCACAGCTATTTGCGCTTTCCGCAAAGCTCAGAGCGTTCAGATGCCTTCCCCCGGATATTGCAGAGCCTCTGCCTTGGCTTTTGCTCTTGTCTCTATGTTGAAGCGTGCTTGACACCTGCACTGCCACTGCTTTCTACACACACAGAACGCGGAGTGCAAAGAATACGTTTGAAGCTTCCCATGTTGTTGGCCTCTGTTTCCCCCCCCGGAATCAGCTTCCCTCGAATTGGTTGTCTGGGTTGGTTTGGTGATGGGGTGGTTTCCCATGAAGCCTCTACAACAGCCAGGGCTTCAAATATCCAAATCGACCCAAACCGATTACCATCGATTACCCGATGCCTGAAAAGGTGTGTCTTAAAATAGGGGAACTCTTCAAAATGGTTGGTTTCCTTTTGAGGCTTCCTCTTAAAACCATCCCAACAAAGGTGTACCCAGCCTCAAAAAAGGACGAGCCACCCATTTATGTCAGTTGGGGTGAAGAAACTGCCACGGTTCGTTCTCATCGCAATGGGTTTGGTTGGCTTTACAGTTGTGTTATCGTTCGACTATGGTGATTTCCCTTGAAGGCCTAGGCGGGCCTACCTTTGGCAACTATTTCCTTCAGATGCCCAGCGGCCATGGGAAAAGAAGGGCAACCTTTTTGGTTCCGCCGATTTTTAAGGGGAACCCTTCCCGCAAAAAAAGGAAAAAGCGCACCACTGGGCAACTGGCTCTCCCTCATGAGTCTGCAGCCGTTTTGAAGCCGTGAACAGTGAAAGTCGTGCCCCTCCGCCCCCCCCCCCCGCCAGATGCGATGGAGCTCACGGCCAGCCTCTCTGTATCAAACAATCTCAAAGAAAGGGGTATACCCGCCTTTCTCACACCGAAGAGAACACCGCATTATTATTTTACTCATGTACTATTGAGTCTTTCTTTTCGTCGGGGGGGGTCCCCCTAAAACGAAGACACACCCATTTTTAGTGGTGGGAGTGTCCCTTACCAAACTTCACTTACCCAGGTGTTGATTGTGGCTCATGTTGCATCACCAATTTCTGGACTTGAGTGTTTGCGAGAGCATTTGCTCTTGCTGCCGGATAGAAATCGACGGAGTCTTGAAAGCAAAGGCTATGGTTGATGTCTGTCACGGACCATGATTGCTTGACTTGATGGGGTAGGTCGATGTTTCAACATGAAATCAGTATCTTTGTTGACCCATGGCCCTCATCAACTGCCTCCTCACGATTCTCCCGAGATTCTTGTGGAAGTGTTTTCAGCTTGAGTTGCATGTCAAAGGCGGAGTCTGGGGCCCTCGCTGGCACCACATCCTCGCCTTTCGGCGTGGACCTGCTGTGCAGAAGCAACACACAAGGCAAAAACTAGACAAACTGGACCCACTGAAAGGCTAGAATCCAGAACTGAAAGGCATTGAGCGATGTTGAGACAGTTGATCTTACTGTCACCAACACATGGATCGTTGACTGGGCAAGCGCCCCCCCTTGACAGCAAAGCAAAATAAATCCAAAGGGTGAAGGTGCTGGCAAGTTTCCGCAGCCATTCTTGCCAATGTGCCCAAATGCTGCGGGCATTTGGAACGAATTCTATGTTCTGCGCCTAGCAGTCATTCAGCTGGCCCTCAAATTGAGTGGTGTTTAGTCCTTTCAGCCTGGGACATCATTCATGCTGCGGAACCTTCTGGACTCCTTCCAAGGACCCAAAGCTTCCTTGCGCAGTACATGGAGTGTCTGTTTTGAGGGTATATAACCCCTTTTTTGGTGGTTTTAAAGGGAAACCAAAAGGACAACAAGCATTTTCGTTTTTGTTGTTTTCGTTTTTAGTGTTTGTTTTTGTATTTTTGTTTGGGGGGGGGGTTGAAGGGTAACCAAAAGAAAAACAGCATTTTGGCGGGTCCCCTACAAAAAGACACGCCCATTTGTTCTTACGTCCTTCCACGGCGAGTGACTGAACATTTAAAGAATCTGCGCAATGCAATTTTCTCGCCGCCCAACTTTTGCTTCTGTATTTTTTTGCGGAGGGGTACCCTTTTGGGGGTGGTTTTACCGGGAAAACAAAAGGAGAACCACCATTTTGGGGCTCACCCTCTTTTGACACATACCCATTTATGTTGTCCAAAAAAAAGACAACATCCGGCTATCGCAACTGGAATCGGCATCTTGATCCAGATTTGTTCGAGCAGGGATCCTTACATTAGACACCTGAACATTGCCTTGTAAATGGTGGCTTCCCTTTATTTTTGTGGAAAAAGCCATGTTTCAAATGGCAAAATGTATTTTTTAAGGAGCCCTGTCGAGCTTCTGCAGAATGTGAAAGAAATAGGTGGAAAGGGTCTTCAGCCAAGGTCAAACCGCTTCGCACTCCGAAGTCTCTGAGTGCCCAGGCCCATTCACCGCAGCCTCGTTCGGCGCCTCGTTCGGATCGCAATGACATGGGTGGTCTGGAGGTCTAAAGATCTGGAGGTCTGCTTGTCGTATGTGTCTGTCCGTTTTTGAGGGTACCCTTTCTGGTTAGTTTTAAAGGAAAAGCAAAAGGACACCAAACGTTGTTTTTTGGAGGGGGGCCCTAAAAAAAACACGTATTTGCTTCACCAGGGATGCCAAGGATGCTTCATCAATTCTTTTCTGGAAGGCCCGTGGGCATTCTTGCGATCTGAGCCCTGATGAATGTCCAAGTTGAGTCGTGCGGATCTGCCGTTGCCATGCCAAGTGTGCGGCTGTCTCTTCGGCTGGTGGATCAAGAACGGCGCAATCTGACCTGCACGCAATCCAGGCTTGTGCGCACGCAACATTGCCTCGATCCACTTCAAGACAACAGATGTATACCAAAAGATGTTGCGCCTCGCCCCGCCCCCCCCCTCACCCCTCAGTCTCCCCTTTCTGTTGAAACTAAACGTACAGATTCAGCGCAGTATGTTCGGTCCTGCGTTGTAAGAGTAGAAAGCATCCCCCCAAGAGCAAAAGGAAGGGAAACATCCCTTTCTCAGCCAACGACATCGTCGCCTCTATTCTATTTCCTACCAACAATAATTCTCATTCTCATGTTGTTCTTGATGCACCGTGGCCACACAACGCTGACCGACCAAGGCTCCGGCCGATCGACTGGTTCAAGCGTTTCTGACCTCAATGGCTGTATCTGACCCTGACGAAAGAAACCCCGCCTCGCCTGAATATCTGTTCGTCCTTCCATAGATTGTTGCCATGCTGTATGCTGTTTCGGATGCTTCAATGTCTCAAGCGCATAGACATGGCAATATGTGACATGCATGTTGGTTGGGCCGGAGAACTCAACTAGCAAGTTTCCACGCTGTCGTCTGGATTAGATCGTCAACACCTGAAACATGTCTTTCCAGTATTGCTACTTGCAAGCTGGGGCCCCAGCCTGGCAAAAACCATCTTTCTCAGTCGTCTCTGAGACCTCAGCGCGCCCTTTGTGTCACTGGCACCTTTTGGCGCCCGGAGACATCTGTCTGGCCCTGTTCTAGCTTTTCGGGTTTGTCCTCGAGACTTTGACAGGGTGATGGGCAAAGCACGAATTTCATCGGCACCTGGAAAAGGGCCATGCGGCGAACGGACCATACATTGCTCTTGAGTTACCGCTTACTTGCACTGGGCACAACATGACTGCTCGTTGCTTGACAACGACGACGACGAATGGTGGTGTTGATGGTGTGCTGGTGGTGGGTGGTGATTGTAATGGAAATGGTAATGGTGGTGATGATGCGGATGGTGCTGGTGATGACGATGAGGACAAGGCCGACCTTGCAAACTAGACTTACCCTCCGAGCATGACCAGGCTGTTGTGCGGCAGTATGTACTGAACTCAGCAGCTTATTTGATTATGAGCCAGCAAGTCGAGTCAGCTTTCCGTGCCTCAGCAAAATGGCACTTCTTGTTTGGCATAGCTCTGTGAATGAAAGTCCAGTTTCGACCCTATTCTCCTCTTGTGCTGCAATCAACAATAACCACATAGCCCATAGCATAACCTCATAGAATAACCTCATAGACTGCCTGCATCATCTGCAACAAACAAGTGCCAGTTCGTATTTCTTGAGTTTGAGTGGCATCGCGCTTACTGCTGCAAGAGGCATCCTATGCAATTTCCTACCTTTAATCTAAAATCACCAATACACCTAGCAAGATTGGATGAGGTCGCTTTGATATCGCGGATCGCTTTGAGCCGTTGTTTCGGTTGTAGTCCTCTCAAGCGCTGTTCTAACGACCGGAAGTGCGAAAGTGGGTGCGCAATAGTATGTAGTGGCAAATGGCGTCTCACGCTTTTCGGAAAGTTCTCAAGCATGGTTGTCAAGTTTCACTGAGGGATGCACACATCTGGCCTGGCATGTCTCAGCCCAAAGGGCAACGTCTGCCTCTTGGGACACCGAAACTCCGATGACATTTGCCATTAAACACCTACACACAACGCGAAAACAAAAGAGAATTGCCCGCGAGTGACACCATGCCCCGAATGTGGCTCTGCGTACTATGCCAAAGTCAAACGGCTGTACACTAGATACACAGCTTTCCTACTGCCAGAGTTACACAATGACTTTAGACCCTTGTTACCACTCCTTGCTATGATTATCAAACAATGTATTGCTGCTACATGAATGAGGAATCCTCACGGCGAATCTTGCCTACCATTATGTGAGGCCGCACAATTTCCATAAGTATAACAGGGACTGGCAATCTATATCATTTATTGACACATATGCTTAAATCACAAGAGAGGCGTTGATGCTTCATAGCGAGAAATGATAATTTATCTGAGCCGATGCAACTTGGCCAGGCCTGGGCCGGTCAGGTGGCCGAAGATGGCGAGGAACCTGTCGAGCGGTGGCGTGACCAGCGGCCAACCTGGGTGTTTAACAAAGCAAACACACACACACACACAAACAAACAAACACACAAACAAACAAACAAACAAACAAATAAGCAAATAAGCAAATAAGCAAACAAAGGAGCAAGTAAGCAAACAAACAATACAAATGATCAAGCAAGCAAGCAAGTACACAAGCAAGCAAGCAAGCAAGCAAGCAAACAAGCAAGCAAACAAGCACACACCCCAAGAAATCCAATACAAAGGCCGGCAAGTCTTGGCCAGCATGCGAGTGACCCTATCGGTAGAAATTGTGTGAACAGCTTCAAAAGGAATCAAGCCAACAACTAACACCTGCAAAGCTGAAACAAGTTCACTCCCAAGATCTCCCGCTAGAAATGAAAAACCAAGCAAAATCATGAGGAAAGAGCGGAAGCGTCCACCCACCAACAGTTTGAATCAATTCAACATCCAAACCAACTGATCATCTGCCAATTCGCCCGGCCGCTCGACTGACTGCCCTGCTTGCACCCAACGTGCGTGCCTGAGGCGGCGGTCTGACCTAAGACTGCAAGGAGTCTCATTTACGGCAGGCACCTTGCAAATAATCCGCTGCTTTTAGCAATCCATATCATAGAACCACCCAATTTGAGTGAAGGAGCCCCCATGTGCCAAACTCTCATGATACCTTTGCCAATGCTCATGGTCTGTGGGGTGGTTGTGGGTGGGGTTGGTTGCGGGTTGATTCTGGTGGGTGGCTCAGGGTTGGTGTAGAGTTTGTTGAGGGTTGGCTAGTTTAGAGTGAATGTAGGCTGGGTTTGGAGTTGGCCGAAGGGTGTACGGGGATGTGCGGGGAGTGGAGTGCTGGGGTGGGGGAGGGGCTGAAATTCAAAAAAAAAGGGAACAAGGTAGAAAAAAAAGCTTAAGGTTGAAAAAAAAGGGTCCAAGGTTGAAAAAAAGGCATGCCCAAAAATACACATTGATCGTTTGCTTCCGATATTTTCGCCATGGGTCAAAGTCCAAATCGGACTTTCAGTGAACATCAACCAGTCCCCACTAAAATAGGTTCTAACATGGGTGGTGCAGCTACCACAACATGGTACCATTGGTTTTGACACGCATCCATGTTGGTCTTTCATTTTCCATCAGTCACATCAGAATCAGACAACATATTTGCCCAACTCATTGTGACATCTACGTTTAAATGCGTTCCCCCTAGTTGTGCACTGGAGACCTGACACTACCTGGAGCCGCGCTCAAGGGAAGCTTCCAAAATTGTTGGAGGGAGTCCGCTTCCAGACTTAAGCATCATTTCTGGGCTCAACATCTTCACTGCCAATGAACCTTGCCTCGGCTTCAACCACGCCCTTCTGGGACCGGCAACATATATCATGTGGTGAACTTTCTGAATGCAGCCGATAGCACGCATGTTCTGTCAAGCAGTGCCCGCTAGACTCAGACTGCATTGAGCAACTCCTTGCTCAGTGAATAAACACTGGACGCAGTTGCCATCCACATCCTTTCGTGAAATAGCCTGGGTGTTGACCAACACGAGTAACACTGCAGGAATGAAACCGGCCCATACGTGCCAGCCGAAAACCAAACACTATGAGGCTTGGACAGTTTTCCCACTTGAGAGAAGCACGTATCAAGGTATCATTCTGAGAAAGACGTTGCGCCTTCCTAGAGTAGAGCCTCCTTCAGGTGCCCCTTTACAACACTGGCCGCAGGCCCTAGGGCAGGCCGCCCTGTATCATGCTAACTGGGATGGCTCACCGAGTTTCTCGTGGGTCATCTTTTGCACGGGCTAAGGCTTTCAGGGGGTGGTGGCCCCGAGCCACCCGGTGATTCACAGACGGTCTCTTTTCTTAGACGAAATCCTTTACCTTTCACGCGCTTGCGTAAAAACCTGGAGGGGGTGTTCGATGCTTTTCATCAGGCCCCTGGCAAAAACATCCCCAGCATCGCTTTTGGGCACAAAAATCACCAGCATCGTCAGCATTATCACAATGACATTCCTGGAAAAATACGAAATAAGTGGGAATGAAGGGGAAATGAAGGGAAATCAAGGAATGGGAAATAAAGGAGAAGGAAGGGGACATAAAGGGATGGTACATGAAAGAAAATCGAGGAAATTATAGTGGAAAATACATGGACAATGAAGGAACATGAAGAGGACATTAAGGGACATAAAGAGCAACGAAGGGGAAATGAAGGGGCATGAAGGGGAAACAAAGGGGAAATGAAGTGGAACTGAAGGGGAAACACATTGGAAATGAAGGGGACCCGAAGTGGACATAAACTGGAAATAAAGGGGACATGAAGGAGAAATGAAGGGACCATTGAGGAGAAATGAAGGGAAAGTGAAGAGACATGTTGTTCCTCGCTGTGCAGCTTTGCTTGTGCTGGAACAAAGCGAGATTCTATGATTATAAGTGAATAGTATTCAAAATATATAAACGGTGTTTTTGCCTTTCTGTTCATCTGCCTCAACTCTGGCATACAGCATCTTGTTTAATGTTTACGTGTTTAATGTTTTAAAGATGACTGAATGAAGCATGACCTCTTGTGACATAAGGTTCTATGCCTTGTTCTTTCAAACTTAATGCACCTTCATTATGGGAGAAACAGCAATTCACAATGACGCACTGTACTTGTATGACACATATAAGACAGGCCTGTACTTTCGGTGGTCTGAGCCGGAGGCATTACAGTTGCAAACCCTACGTTACAATAATACCTCATCATGTCGAGCTGATAGATGGCAACAACCGTGATTCCCATGGATTTAAACAATCGGGATCCCAAGGCAACTGGCACATCCATCATGGGAGATCTAGTGAATTTCGCAATCCCGGGTGTGACCTGTATGAGGCTGCACAAATTCACAACGGATTGATTTGTGAAGTATAGCGTTGCTGCCTCCGGTGCATATGAAAAGCAACCAACCTAGAATCCGCTTTTACACTTTGGGGAGTGGAACCATGGGCCCTTTGGATACCTATGATATGCGGGGTGCTCTCAGCGAATTCTTTCTCAGTTCGCAAGCTCCCGACAGCTGGCTGATTCCAAATCTCAGTCTGGACAAAAAATCGTCGACTCGGAGCAAACTCAGAACCATGCCAACCCACCAACCCTCCCACCCACCAGCCAACAACCCAACCAGGCAACCACCCAACCAGGCAACCAATCAACCCATGCATCCAGCACAGGGCTCCCACATCAAATCTGTTCATCGGGCGAGCAGGTGCCGGCGGAGGAGCAGCGCGACCTTCGCTGGCGATTCGCAGATCTGGGACTGGGATGTCCAGGGGCGATTGCACTTCAAGAAGTGGGCCACTTTTATCCAATAACATGAAGGGACATAAACGGCACGCAGCATGTATGGCTCAGCTTGTGTTTTGGTACATATATATACATATATATGTACATACGTATCATGTACATGTATATATATTGTGTCAATGTGTATCCATATTCTTGCAAGGATGTTTCTGACGGGGACCCGTTTTTGTTTGCTATGTGCAACTGTTTAGGCAGAGCTTACGCAACACAATGTATTCTCAGTCGAAACTGTGACATACCCAGTGTTTTTTCTCGACCGTAGCCTTCGCTGCTGGATGAACACAACTCATCGCTAGACTTCGATCCAGTTCTTTTATATGGTGCAATCCCGAGTGTCCACAGGCAAGAAATTGCGTTCCTGGCTAGATGGCGCATGTTTCAGGACAAATTGGAACGGCTTATGATGTCACACCTTGGCTGAAATCAAACAAGAACCATCTCTGGCTCACATGCTGAATCTCTTGTGGCTTGTCGAGCGTAGCACAACATGGAGGTTGAACCCTTGCAACATTGGTTCGGCGAGGAGAACAGACGAATCGTGGCATCCAAATGTCATGATTGTCACGCAGTACAAAAAGCAAAAAGACACCCAGTTGCATGACATTGGCCCGTTTCATCCCCGCTGGCCCGTTTCATCCCCGCAACTGACGTTGTGAACATAATTCATTTATGCGTATATGTATAATTATGTACATATCAATGGCAAAGTTGACAAACACGAACCTTTCTGCACGTCAAACATCCCCGAACCCTGCATTCAAACACTGGAACAAGGAACATTGGCTGAATGCTGGACTGATTTACAGCCCATACGTCTAATTTGCCCTGAGCTAAAAGAACCGCATTGCCAAATAGCTTCTATTGGCAGTCTTGTGCTCTTGGGAAGGATGCTAAGTTCAGCAATCTCATCATGGTCCGTGGCTGAGCGGGATTATTATTGGTTCCTGAGATAAATATGATCAATGATGTGTAACAGTGCGGTGCCAGTGAAGTGTTCAGTCCTCTAACGCAAATCCCTCAATCCACCCGATCCCCCCAAACCATAGTGGTTTTGGCGAATGGGACCAAATTGGACCTTCCTTTGATCCTTGAGCTGTTTCCCAACAAAAACAAAGAATGTCTCAAACAAAAGGACCAGAAACTCGGGTGGCTGCCCCATACAGCTCCTTGCTGATCATTCCATCCTTGGGCCGTTGGCCCACACTGGTCAAGAAATCACATCCAGCTTCCCCAAAAGAAACCACACAGCTTGGGATGAGTTGAATATTTCAACAGGGAGCAGTTTCGGCCAGTAACCTCCCTTGGCCACGCCATAAACATTTGGTACACCAATTGACAGGTCAGCCATTTTGTCTATACCCCCCCTTCCAGGATGAACAAGTAGTAAATTGATCGATCACTATTTCGTGGGGGTATTTTGTTCCTAAGTTGATTTTGATGATCTAGGAGAACATGATAGTTTGAACTATCATGCATCTCGGGGTAGCTAGCCTCTCGATGCCTTCTGGTTTCAGCTAGCTTTCCTGACACGGAAACCTAAAAGGATTGCGCTTGCACACCTACCCTGATTGCTCATGACACCACGCCACCCTTGTCAATGTTAAGATAGACGCGAATGCCTTTTAGTTGGAACCTGTACTTAATACATGCTCCTTGCCTGAATCAAGTTTGCCAAAGTGGTGATGGTTCTACTTCCCCGTGGTGTCAGTCTGACTCGCCTGCCTCGATCGATCAGCTCGTGCTCGCCATGAGCATAGTCTCGGCGCCCACGAATGAGAGCCGTCCGATTCGCATGCCCTTTTGTTTCCCAACCAACTCAAGTCCCAAACTGACGAAATCAACTTGTCAACAGCATAGAAGGTTTGCAGGCATCTCAGTGATTCTTTTTCCGCAGTGCGAATGGATGTCAGGGAACGTCATCACCCCACGTCATCTTTCAGCGGTTTGTTATTTTCCCATCATAGAACAGCGTAGTGGGGTTTTGAGGCACCAGCCGCAAACTTGTAAAGCATGCCCTTGCCCACTTAATACATTACGGCACTCCTCACGTAGAGGATGGATACAGGCCCTTTGCCAAACGCGGAAAATCCCTGATTTGTTCAAAGAGCTATGCATGGATCTGCTGCAAGGTTGAAGACGCCGTCCTTTGCCCAAATATCCCAACGTCTATCAAGCAATCAGCCACCTTGTCATGATCATGTCTGCAAAAATGCCATGGATTCTCACACCCCAGTCACTGTGGCTGGAGATACCAGCATCAAAATCTGAAAGAAATCTCAAGCAAAAACGCCATGCTTATGGCCTTGGCGTGAGTTTTGAACGGGAAACCTTGCCGACTTGCCCAAACTCGCGTCCAAGAGTATTGCTCATGGCTCTTGGGGCTTCAGACCTCCCATGGGAAGCGGAGGAAAAAAAAAGCGCTTTGGGAGTCGTCTAGCTGCCAGCTCTCCTAAAGACGGCTGGTCTCGGCTTTCTCAGGTCTGGGCTGCAACCGGTGCCACGCGTGCAGCGGCCTTCCTTGAAGTAGACCTCAGGCGAGCTGAAGGGATCAGCAGAGAACCCCTGGGAGAGTCCAAAGGGAAGAGATCAGCTTCTTGGGAGAGTTTTCTTGCGGCTGTCGGGCCGATCCGGTGAGATTCTATGCCTGGCAAAGTGAATGATCCATCTTATCCCAACGGCTGGCACAGCTGTCATCAGAGCGACCGGCTGTGCAACCGGCCGGCAACTTTGAGGCCCCGTCACAAAGTTGAGTCTTTCTATTCTGAGGAACCGGTGGAGGCGGCATGACACCTGCGAGCTCCGAGGCCAAAATCTGGGAGTTACTTCCGCCCAGAGATCCAAAGCGAAAGCCTCTGGCCCTGTAGAAACAGAAAGAAAGAGAAGAGATTTAGTGTCGAACAAACTGCACTGGGCGAAAGTGGCAGTTTGTTCACATCAAGTGACAAAGGGGTGTCTTTTCTTGGGGGGGCCCCGAAAAATGCCTTTTTACAACCACCCTAAAAGGGGTATTTACCCTCAAAAACAACACACCCATACTCAGTCGTGCTCTTTGTTTATAGGGACGTCATCATTCTTTGTAAAACGACCATGTCAGGCACCGAAGTCATACTCCGTCAAGAGAAATTGACAATGCGTGGACCCACTCGAAGCAGAACAGCTGCTACACGGTTTGGCAGTTTCCGAAAGGCCTCTTGCCAAAAGAACCACCTGAAGCATCCCTCACCTCTTCTCTCATGTCGGCACCGCCCAAAACCAGCTTTGGGCAAATGCCAACGACGCCGAAGCCAACTGCCTTTTGCAAGTTCGTTCGGACGTTTTCATCTTAAGAAGTCAACGATTTCCTTTGCTTCAATTCCACTTGTGTCGGACGTTTTCATCTTAAGAAGTCAACGATTTCCTTTGCTTCAATTCCACTTGTGTCGGACGTTTTCATCTTAAGAAGTCAACGATTTCCTTTGCTTCAATTCCACCTCTGTGGGTGTGCCTTTTTTACGGGACCCTCCAACATGGTGATTTCCCTTCTGATGTCCTTTGACACCACAAAAAAAAGTACCCTCACAAAAAGACTACTACACCAGGAGAACATGGGGCCACAATATGAAAAGGCCTATTTCTCAAATGGTCACAAACAATCAGAAGCTTGCTCTCCGGTCTCTTCCCTGGTCTTGTGTTTTTGTTTGAGGATTCAAAAATGGCCGGGCTGCTTATTTCGGGTTTCGTGTCCAACTTTGGGCGACTCCCGGTGCCTCCCATGGTTTCTGGTTGGTTCAGCCCCGGTTCGCTGGCACAGAGCTCTGCTGTGCCCGGGTTTCGGGGCGGGTAGCGGCTCACAGTGGCCCGTCTCTCCCCGGTTCTTTTGGGATTTGTTGAAGGGAGTTTTTGGTCGGACCACCAAAAGGAACATCATCATTGTTGAGGGAGCCCCCCAAAAAGAAAGAAGAAGAGGACCATACCCTCCTCCTGTTCCACCTGTGGGTCAAAACCAATGGTATCCCATGTTGGGCCCATTTTAGGCTTCCTATTTTAGTGCTTGAATTTTGGTTGATGTTCACGGGCTATCCGGGCTTTGGATTTTGACCTACCTGACAAACCCACCCGAGACTCCCATGGCGGGGCCTCCAGGTCCCATGGCGGGGCCTCCCTTACCTGGAGGCATTGGACCTGGCCGAAACCCACCGCTCGTCGCTCGCGGGAGGCGGATTTTTGTTGGGCTTCGGACGCCCAAACTGGCGGCGGGGGATCGATCCCATTGACCCTCCACCAGGGGTTCAATTCCAAATCATCAAATCCAAACCAATCCAAAGCACTCTGGGGTTGAAAAACGGTGTTGCATTTTTGAGGGCTAGCCTTGGGGGCTTGGTTTACTGGAGTTCTCTTTGGATGGATGCTTCAAGGGCGTTTACCTTTTTTTTTTTAAGGCTGGAATGCAGGAAATGGGGGGTCTTCCCCACCAAAAACGCTCGAACATGCATGGGTTGTTCGTGGTCCTTTTTGCTTTCCCTCTACCCACCAAAAATCAAACGGGGCGTCCAACACTGGTGGGGTGTCCCTTTTCCCGTTCAACCCCACCAAAAACGGGGTGCCGTCAACAAAAAAGCCAGAGTCCCGTTTTGGGCAGCCGGGAGCCACGAGCTTTCTCGCTGTTTTAGGCAGGTAGAGAGACTAACTTTGCCTTGCCTCCATATGAGGCGATCTTCCTGCAATGAATCGACCAACGGCACCAACCAAACACTGAACAACAAACGAGCGCTGGCACAGTCTGTCAAGTCAACCCAAACAATCGCTTTACGTGTCGTCATTGGAATTTCCTGCTCCTCAAACAGGATTCTGCACTGGTGTTCAATGCCTCCACTCAACTGTTGCTGGCTCAATGCTGGCAACCTTTGTTGGCTCCATCAACAGCTAAGGTACAGCTATGCAACATATCTAGGATCGTGTGTTCCAGCTTCGTCTGGGGACACTCTAACGTGATATCCAGAGCGATGAAGATATGCTCTCTGATAGATTCTCGTGCTGGTCTGTACTTTCCTGACTCCAAACCCATGCCTGCATCAACTTTGTCAAATATGACAGCACATTGCAAGGAGTTGGAGGTGATGAATACCCCCACCCCCCGACCCTGAAGTCATGCCAGAATTGAGCATGGCAACCCTAGTGAGCCCTCCTACTGCGCGCCAGAAATCAAGACAAGCCGAGACTTCCTTTGCCAATCGGTGGGCCGCCCTTCATGCCCATCCTCGGCAGGGCAGTTTTCTTTGCGCCGGGCAAAAGGGGAAAAACGGGACGGGTGGTGCATGCACGAGCAGAACCCGTGAAGTGCAAATACGCCTCATAGACCCGTGAAAGTGGATGCGCTAGGCATTTTACTAGGATTCCAACCAGAGCCTAGCTCTACACAGGGATGGCAAAGAGAGAACAAGTACAAGGGCGCGAATCAGATTAGGCCTACAAGGCCTAACTCCCTAATGCCGAGCTAATCTAGACTGAGTCAACAGCAAAACGGTCAGCATAACCTTGCATTTGGCTGAGACCCCTGGAAAAAATACACATATTTCCAGTAGTGATAGATTCCCCTTAAACCAACAGGGGAAAACATATTCTTAAGCAAATGGAAGTAACCCTTGCAGTTGAAAACAAGCCAGTGGAGCTCCCTTTTGTGCGCCAGTCGGGGGCGTTCTTTTACTTCAGAGCCTACCGCCCGCGAAAACAAGTCTGTTCAGCCTGAGAGCCTTTTGGGGAGGCCTGTGCTCTATGAGAGCCTTTGTCCCTTTTCTTACACATACCTTAACACATGGGGTGCTCTTTAAAGGTATTCTGTTTAAAATGGAAGCCAAAAGGGAAAAAACACCAATTTTGGGGGGTCCCCTAAGGCACCGACATATGCGTAAGAATCAGCCGTCAGCCAAGACACGGGTGCGTCGGCTGCGTGCTTCGCAGTTCATGCTCTCCATGCGCGTAGGAGCATTGATCTCCTCGGTTGCACCTGTTCTCCTGGCGCTTACTCGATGCGCGCAAGACTCGGCATTGGGGCTGATTGAGTCACCCTGGCGTGTCTTTTTGAAGGTACCCCTGTTTTGTGGTTTCAAGTTGAAACCAAGGGAAAAGCCACCTTTTGCGGGGGTGCCCTAAAAAGAGACACACCCATGTAGAGGCTGTTGCATCGGAGCTACTACAAATTACCAACTGTAACTGTGACTGTTTGTCATGTCCCTGATGTCCAGATTCACGGAACCGTGTTGCACCAAGAAGTCAGCGCTGTTGACCCAGCGGCAACCCCACGGCTGGCCGTTGCAGCAAGGCATTATCCATCTCCGGCCTTCCAGTACTGGCATATGACAAGCTTTTGCCTCGTATTTCAGTGCGAAACGACGGGCTCGTGCCCTTCGCGTTTGTGGCCCGGATTGGGCGCTTGACGGCACATATCCAATTCAAATGGGCCGAGTTTTTGTTTTGCATAGCCCTGGCATTAGCCTAACCCTGGCATAGCCTGGCGTGCACGAAAGGAGACACTAACGGACAAAGGTTTGGGGTGGTCCGTTTCGGGTAGCTTAAGGCCCGGCATAGTTTTAACATGCTCAGCATCGTTTTCAACATCCTCAGCATCACCAGGCTTTGGTTTAGGTTGGGTTTAGGGTGGGTCCCAGGTTGGCTCAGGCTTGGCTCCGGATGGGTTCCAGGCCTATTTATTGAGAGCAAATTTGGGGGTGGCTGTGCTTGAGGTGGATGGTTTATGGTGGGGCTTCTTTGGGTTGGTCGCGGATGGGTTTAGGGCTGGTTTAGGGTGGCTTTAAAATTGGCTTCGGTCGTGGTTGTGTTTAAGCGGGCTTAGGGTGGTTTAGGTTCGAGGATGTTGAAAACGATGCTGGGGATGTTAAAACTATGCCGGGCCTTAAGCTACCCTTAACAGACTACCCCAAACCTACCCTACACCTACCCTGAACCCATCCCAAACCTTCGTCCTACCGAGGCGCCACCCAACCAAGCAAGCAAGCAAGCAAGCAAGCAAGCAAGCAAGCAAGCAAGCAAGCAAGCAAGCAACCAACCAACCAACCAACCAACCACCTGCCAGGGCTAGCCCTGTGCCAGGGCTAGACCCAAAAAACACCCTTTCCATGCAAATGGAGAAGACAAAAAGCGCGGCTGGGTCTATGATCCATGTGGATAGATTCACGCTTTCCGTTGCCTCCACTTGGCAGAACCTGCTTCAAACTACTTCTTGAGCTGCAAATGTGCAGACTTTGCTCAAAGGGCCATATCAGCCATGTCCTGCATTAGGGATGAGATTGCTTGCTATGTGTTCCTTATTGGGCTGCATTGATTTCCGCTGTTGCATGTCTACCTGTATGGCCTGCATTGCAAGCTCTGTGTGCAAGTTGCTCATGCGCAAACCAAATAAAACTTGTCGCTACTCAGCGGCACTCGGTGGTCGAAAAGAAATGCTGGCAAGGATGTTACTGTACAACCTGGCGGCCCTTGCCGGGGGATCGCGCAAACCGGGGCGTTCCCGGGCAATTTCGGGCAGTTTTTGTTTTTTTTGTTTGCGTACACCTCTCAGCACTCCCTGTTTATCGGGTTGTTTTGGGTTGTTTCTGCCTGAAACTGTCTGGAATCCAAACCCGTTACGGCGACCCCAGTTTAGGGCTCTCTGATACAATCACCTGCTTAGTTGGTCATTGGTCGGGTAGCGTTGTTGTTGTCGCTTAGGCATGCTGATTTATTATTCTGCAACATGTGCGCGATCTAAGGATTTCCTGGGCCTGCATCTGTTGCTCAAATAAGTGAAGACCGAATCAGCAACGACTCAAAACAAGTTTTAGCGCACCAGCTATTCTACTCTGAACGTGTTGTTATTGCATTTTGCCGTTTACACTGTTTGCAGCGGTTTGACACATTCCTAGAGCTGAAGTTGTCAAGGGGGGGGCCTTTGCACAACAAAGAGGCGCGCGAATTCCCCTCCCTGATGTTCTCCAAGCCTACAAGGGGTTGAACGATGTAAGGCCAAGGTTGGCTCGCTGACATGTTTGAGCCCTTGCGATTGCAATACTGCCCCAACTTGCCGGGACTCGTACGAGTATCCCCCCCGAGGCAGGCACTTGGTAGGCATGCCCTTCCCAGGCATCCTCAGACGTGCCAACCACAGAACCATGATACGTGGAAACCATACCTCCTGCAAACAAGTGGGGAAGATTCCTGTGGAGCAAGAACCTGTGGGGCATGCACGAACACATAAATACATTAAGGAACCTAAACTGATAGATACATGGATAAAGGGACAGGATAGGATAGGGCAGGATAGGTCTGGAATGTGATAGGATAGGATGAGAAAGATAGACGGCTAAATGGGTGGATGGGTGGATGGGTGGGTGGGTTGGTGGATGGATGGATGGATGGATGGATGGATGGATGGATGGATGGATGGATGGATGGATGGATGGATGGATGGATGGATGAATGGATGGATGCATGCATGCATGCATGGATGGACAGATGGATAGATGGATAGATAAATGGACAGACAAATCAAATTCGGTTACGTTTGGTTTGGTTGGGTCGGATTTAATTAGATTAGGTAGACCGATCCATACATACACAAACAGGAGCAATCGATCAGATTGCAATGGTTTCTGTTGGATTATATTGATAGATACGAAGGAAGGAAGGAAGGAAGGAAGGAAGGAAGGAAGGAAGGAAGGAAGGAAGGAAGGAAGGAAGGAAGGAAGGAAGAAAGGAAGAAAGGAAGGAAGAACAATTGAAGAAGGAGACACATACATAGACAAGAACGAACAGATGGGTCGATGGATAGATAGACCCGTCGATGGGTTGCGTGGGTGGGGTGGGGTGGGGTGGGGTGGGGTGGGGTGGGGTTTGGGTTTGGGTTTGGGTTTGGGTTTGGGTTTGGGTTTGGGTTTGGGTTTGGGGTGGTGGATGTGCGGGGTGGGTGGGCGGGTGGATGGGCAGGTGGATGGCTGGATGGATGAGTGGGTGGACGGATAGATAGATAGAAATTAGATTTGATTGGATGGATCCATAGATAAATAGGTAGGTAGGAAGCTAGATAGATAGAGACACAAATAGACAGGTATCGATCTTACGTGACATGCGAAACCGGCATGAGTAAGTCCATTCGGAACACCTGCTTTATTCAACTGTACCTTTGGTGTACTTGCAAACATGAGTCACAATCAAAACACGATACCAAAATTAGTCTACCCAGAACCATGTAAAGAACTAAAAAATCGCGGAGATCCGCAGCTATGTATGGCTGGGATCGTCCTTTACTAAGCTTCATCTACCCGAATCGGTTTGGAGCACGTGGCTCACATGGGTAGGCCCAGGGGCCGGAGTTCCGGGGCGGGAATGTTCCGAGGGTTTTTGGCGTGCTGTTGGGGATAGCGCCTGAGCTTTCCGTGGTTTTAAAGGGAAGCCAAAAGGAAAGCCACCATTTCACCCCCATTTTCTTGAAGTCCCCTGGGAAGGAATAAATAGTTGTCCGGTAGTGGTAGATCCCCTTTGAAACCAACCCGGGGAAATAAAACATAATTTTTAGCAAATGGACGCACGAGGGTCCGGATCCTCCAAACAATTCGAGGTTTCCCCCCGAGTCGTCTTCTGGGGGCGGGACGGAGCTCCAGGGCCCTTCATGGGGCCTTTAGCCGCGCCCTTCGGGTCGCCTTTCACGCCAAAGACTGACTGGAAGCCCTTCCCAGCTCCTTGGCACGGCTCAAAAACCAGAAAGAAAAAAAACTCCCAGAGCTTCAAGCGGCCCACTTCCGCAACCACTCAAGGATCGGGAGCGGCCATTTCGGCTCCCTCGAACCCCAAAAGAATGATAGGATTTTCCCCTGATACCAACAAGCCATGGTGGCAACCATGGTTTCAAAGTGGTGCCGGATTTCGTCCATCCACAGTACCCGGTAGCTCCGAAAGACTCCCCTGCCAAAAAAAGAACTGGATACCAGCGCCTTGGCTCCCTAACCACCAGCTAGTAGCCACGAACCCAACCTATCAATGGATTTCAATGATCCAAAGGCATTCATTGAAAAGGATGTTTCTGGCATATTTGTCTATTTCCTGTAGAGGATATCTGCAAAAAGGCATGGATGACACGCTGCAGAGAACTGAACCCATGGACTCCAAAACACGAGGGAGCAGCACGGCGCATGATTTGTGCTCGCTGATCCATGATCGATGGGCAGTTGATGTATCTGAAATGAGAGAAAATGGAAAAGACACTTTGAGGTGATGGCGCGGCGATTGCAACGGCAAGCTCAAGATGTTGCACAAATGTCTGGGATTGTATGAGCGGCCCGGCTGATTGGCTTTCCTTCCGCTTTCCGCAGTCCATGGCATCCTTTTGGTATCCCTTTGGTATCCTTTTGGTATTTGGTATCCTTCCCAAACAAGTCTTCTAGAGCTAGGCTGGCTCAAACCGTGGCCGTTGTTTTCGCTCGGCCGGCTCGCTCAACTGGTGGCGACGGTGGCTGGATCTTGGGTCCCGGGCCTCTTCCGTGGAGGCCTTCCTGTGAAGATTCATCAAGCAAATCGGTCCCCAAAATGGCTTGCCCTGGTAAATGGACACATGCACTAAGACCTGCAGTCCTCTAATAGCTGAATTTTGACCCATACCCAAATCGTGTTTTGGTCATGGCACACATGTCACAGGGGAATCTGCCTGTTTGCGTGACCGCCCGACTTGGGTGGTGACTCCGAGAGGCTTGGGGTCTTGTTTTGTTGGCCCTTTCTTTTTACTAACCCTGGTTCACAGCAAAAAGGGAGACGTTGTGCAATTAGTTTGTCAAAACATATGAGTAAACAGGGAGGAACAAGTGATGGTTTTTGCAAATCGTTTGCACATAATCTGCAAAGAACAAATGCAAAAACACATGAGGCATCCAAATCGTACCCCCAGTGAACATCCCAATCCCCACTAAAATAGATTCTAAAATGGGTGGTGAATTCACCTACCAACCAACAAGGGACCAAAACGGTTTTGACAACCACAGCCACATGACTGTGGCTCAAAAAAAAACGGTACCAAAATGGTACCAAAAGGTAAATGGAAAACCAAAGACTGAAACCCGCGTAACTTGTAACCCCAGCTCTTTAATTTTGATTGCCACAGCCACATGAACTCTTGTCCAGATCCGGCTTTGCACCGCACCGGACCCAGGCCTGCCTATCTGGTGGCCGACGGGGGTTGGGTTGGCGACGAGCCCGTAGACGACCCAGGGGTGGTCCATTGCCCCAAAAGGGGAACCCCGTGTTGGGGTTTATGTCTGTCTTGGGGAAGTCAAAAAGTGGATGCCCAAAACTTGCTCAACGCTCTCAAGCAAACCTAAAGCCATTGCCAAGCCAGTCGCATACCTATTCAGCTCCAAGCCAACCCAAACCAGCTCGAAGTCAACCTTAAACCCACCCAATAGCCCGCATATCAAGGCTAATGCCATGTGAGACCGGTGATGCTGAAAATTCGGCCACCCAATCCAACCATCCAACCAAGCAGCCACCCAACCAGAT